AACGTTCGAAAGATTGTCAGTCATGTCATACGCCACATTTTCTATAGAGCGTAGAACATTGCAGATAGGGCAAAATAAAAAATAAACCAAAATATTATGGGAACTATTTATTAATAATATATACATTTATAAGTATTTATAATAAAAATAATGAACAAGCTGCAAGGTTCAACTAATAATGTTTTTTTATAAACACAATCTTAAAATTCCTGTTTTAATTTTTACCAATGGTTAATTTATGAAACGTAGTCAAGATCACTTCATATAAAATATATTTAATTAAAATTGACACGTGACCTATTTGGCCTTCTACTTACAACTCGGCGGAAATTTGAAAAGAAGATTTTGTCTTTTCACACAAGTATTGTTTACAACTGGTGTGGTTTCGAAAAGCGTGATTAAGTATCAGCGGTATATAATCAATTAAATACTGAACTTTTTTGAAATTTATTTTTTTCTTTATTTTTGTTATATCTTCTTAAAAACTGACGCCATCTCACTATTTTATTATTTGTTTTTTTTTTTGTAACGCATAAGGATAAGTTAGACTAAGTTAGATTAACTTGGATAAGTTTATAATTTTTTTAATTTTATCACTATTTAATTAAATTTCCGCAATAAATTATTACCTTTTCTACAGTGATTCTCTCCTCTTAGTTTCGGCGTGACTGTAGGATGTTATAGTGAGTCACCGTTAGTTACTAAGCGGCCATAAATCATTATATGTATGTATAGACATACATATATACATTTTTTGATTTTAATATTTATGTTTTTTTTGAATTTTGATTGATTTTTTGAAACCTGATAAAATTATTTTTTTCCATACCAATTAATGGGCCTGAGTATAATGCCAGTTATGCTCTTTGTCTGAAGTTATTTTTTATTTTATGCTCAATTGCAGACAAAACAATATTGACTGCGCATTTCTAAAACAAAATTTTACCTCTTCTCCTTCTAATAATAGCTCCTGCACCTAACACGGCGGAATAGTTATTATTATCTATAAGACCATTTGCGGAAACAGTTTTTGTTAACAGTTATGAGTGTAACATTTTATCAGCTGCTTTGTTTATAGTGCCTTGAGCAACACTTTGCCGGTTTCTGTACAGAAAATGATGCTGGCTTTGCAAATATGGATGGCCGCTACCATTGAATATAATACCCGCTATGTTACATTTATTACATAGAAACTTTAATTATCATTTGCATAAAATTCTAAATAGCACTTTTTACACAAGAAAGTAAACTTTTAGATCAGTCCATCTTGTTTTTCACTAATTAAGTGAAAAGTAAAACAAACCAATAGTCCGTGATTTAAAATTTACTGCAACTTTTTATAGAAAAACATGACCTTATCATAATATAATACTCAATCATTTAGCCATGGGATAAAACTTTTAAGTGTGCCAGTCAAACATTAATGATGATATTCGTGTCATTATACTGGAAATAGTCTTTTAAATATTTTGTAGTACAATGACAATCTTCAGTATGATTGACCGTGTATATGACTTTTATAAGTCTATGTTATTTTTGATGAAAATTATTGTTGCAGATAAAAGCCCTTTTACATTTATTTTAGTCTCGAATTAAATTAATCCAAATGAAAATAAGAACTTAGGCACTTTATAACTGATCTTTAAATGTAAAACACTGACTTGAAATTATATAATTATCAGATGTTTTTAATTCATTGAACTTTTTTAAGATTGTATTGGAACTCTACTGGTAAAAAAAAAACCAAATATATATATTATAGTTCTTGATGAAAATAAAGTATGCGCGTTACATCGTATCCCATTAAGAATTTCTAATGTAATTCTTGGTGTAAAGCTAAGACGTGATAATAACTGTAAACAATAGATTAACAAAATAATGTAAACATTTGTAAATACTTGCTTTATAACCTAATAAATATTATTTGACCGTAATAAAATAAAACAAAGTCTTCGGCATGAAAGTAAAAATATATATTTTCGATTATTTTTGCAATATCTAACAGCCGGATCAGCGCACGATTCTGATCCATCTAAAGATGCTAAATTTCAGCAAGCACTGTCAAATTCAATAGGAGTGACAGAAAAAAACGGTTCTTGATATAGAAGGGTAAATAAATTATTTAACCTATAAAGTAAAATCACTTTATTAAAAATCAAAATAGCCCAATAGCTTTATTAACATGAGATACATAATTGTACGAGTGCTAACAATACTTATCGATCTTATAAATTTGCATTAAAACATTGTAAAAACTCCCTGGTTGCCCTGAAATATTTAATTAGTCTAGTCTTATTAGTTTACAGTGTTTTCAAGCCATTTCGGGCGATATTTCTAATTTAAATTAAAAAATTATTGTTTTTGAGAAACTTTACAGTGTTTTCAAGCCATTTCGGGCGATATTACTAATTTAAATTAAAAAATTATTGTTTTTGAGTAAAGTAATATATCAAAATTTTTCGTGTATATTAAAATCTTACAAATCTCTTCCGTTTTTGCTCCTACCTGGTCCATCTTACTCCACAACCGCCGTATCTGTAAAAATCTGCAACAAAAAACGTAGAAATTAGCAAAATTTTAAGAAAGTTAAATACCGAGGTAGATTCATATATATAAATTTACAAAAGTCTCTTATTTTAAAAAAATTAAAATGAGCTCAATGCCGGGTAACGTAAATAGGACCGAAGACCAGCGGAAACGTCCCACTTCATAGAATATCGCAACCAAAGAGAAAGTAAAAGAAATACACACTCGGAAATCCGATGTTCTAGAAATAGCAGTAACAGCAACGTCTAAGGCCAATAGATTATATCAGGACGCTAAGTTGCAGCTAGAGCAGTCTGGAAACTTAAAGACTTCCTTAAAAGAGACGGTGGTAAATAACCTTTCTGAACTACAGTTAAACGAAGAAAGGCAGACTCTACTCCTACAATTGGAGAAAGCTCGTATACAACTTAAAGACGATCTGCTTAGGCAAGAAAAACAGTATGCAGAGAGCCTTAGAGTACTAATGGATCAGGGTAGTATAAGAGATATTCAGTCTGCTCTCACAGAAACAGTGAGTTATATGAGAACCCTAACGGACTCATTGCAGCACACGATGGGCAATGACACCTTAGTGGATAAACATACTTTTATAGGCAAATCGGAGGATACCAGAAGGGAACTGATGGAAATAAAAGAAGAATTATCATCGAATAAAACTATTTTTTTACGGATTTTATCGCGTTACGCGATAAAATCCGTAAAAAATAGTTTTATTCAATGTGTAGTGTTCGCGTAAATATAAGAAATCATTAAGAATTATCATCCCTAAAAGACCAAATGGGTGGACTTCGAGAGTCTTTGGTTCTAGGCGAAACAAATGAACCTACATATGCCAGCATAGCTAGTCGACCTAAGGCCAAAATAAACAGTAAAATGATGGCTCCAATGCACTCAGTACTGGTATCGTCTGAAGAAGAACAAGACACTAGCGGAGATATAATAAATAAAATAAGAACAGCAATTGACGCTAAAACCACTGGGTTGAGAGTGGATAAACTACGGAAGGCCAGGGATCAAAAGGTAATAGTGAGATGCCAGACACATGACGAAGTTCAAAAAATTGCAGAAAGAATCAAAGGAGCATCCTCAAAATTGCTAGTACAAGTAGTCGAGAATAAAGACCCTCTGATAATTATGAGAGATGTTCTATCTATAAATAAAGACGAAGATATTCTAGCAGCTCTGAAAAACCAGAATAAGCAACTCCTATCCGATATACCAGATGATCAATACAGAGCAGCAATTAAATATCGGAAAAAAGCTAGAAATCCGCATATTAATCATGTCGTAATTCAAGTATCCCCAAAAGTGTGGCAGAGACTGACAACAGTGGAAAAAGTCCACATTGACTTGCAACGTGTAATAGTAAGAGACCAATCACCGATAGTACAGTGTACGCGGTGTTTGGGGTACAGTCACGGAAAGAAGTTCTGTAAAGAGACACAAGATTTATGCAGCCATTGCGCCGGACCCCATGTTAAGGACGACTGTCCATTATGGGCAGTAAAAGAACCACTGACATGTCGCAATTGTTTGCACGCAAAAAGCGAAAGGGCAGACCACAATGCATTTGACGACAGTTGCCCTATCCGAAGGAAATGGGACGCGATCGCGAGATCGAGTGTAGCGTATTGCTGAAATTGATACAACGAATTATGGGACCAGCAGTGATGAAGAATCATTAACAAATCCACAGGACTACCATATTATACAGGCAAATCTCCAGAGGAAGAAATTAGCAACTAAAGAGTTAATGATAGAAGCAGAACAAAGAAAAATTAATATCGCTTTGGTACAGGAACCATATATTGGTGCATTAGGGGAACTTAAACAAGAAAAAGGGACAAAAGTAATTCAGTGTACAAGAAACAGAACTAAACCTGTAAAGGCAGCAGTAATAGTTTTTGATCAAAATATTAATGTCATAGAGGATCCAACACTCGTAACGGAGAATATAGCAGTTGCTCAATTAAAAACGAATAAGTGGGAATTAGCAGTCGTATCGCTCTATTTTGAGGACAGTTTACCTATCGAACCCTATCTCGCACAACTGAAAACTATCATTGAAAAACTAAAAACAAAATACATACTAATAGGAGGTGATTTCAACGCATGGAGTACGTGGTGGTGAAGTGCTAGGGAAGATCATAGGGGAGAGGAATTGGCAGGAATGATAGAAGATACAGGTATGCACATATTAAATGAAGGAAATGAACCCACATTTGATACTATTAGGGGTGGGAATATTTATCAGAGTATAGTAGACGTAACAATCAGTAGCGAAAATTTATTAAGTAAATAAAGCTATTATAAGTTCTGACCACAACTGTATAACATTTAAACTAGTTTTGATAAAACCTACAGAAAATAATAATTATAAAAGTACTAGAATATATAATACTAAAAGGGCGAAATGGACAGGTTTTAAAAATAAACTATGTGAAACACTTAAAATGAAAAATATTAGTAAAAAAGAGATAACAGAACTAAATTCAAAGGAAAAACTAAAAACTACAATTAATACATATATACAGTGTGTTAAGGAAGCAAGTGATTCGAATATTCCAAAAATTAAAACTAGAAATAAAATAGCTATACCGTGGTGGACAGAAGAGCTTAATAAGTTAAAAAAAGAAATGACAGTTAAGAAAAGAAGAATATCGTATGCTGCCTCTCGCCGGCGTCGATACGTAGTAGAACAATATTTGGAGATAAAAAATAAATATGAAGAAGAAGTAGCACAAGCACAAATCAACAGTTGGAAAAAGTTTTGCAGTAAGCAGGATAGAGAAAGTCTGTGGGACGGGATCTATAGGGTAATCAGGAAAACATCAAAAAAACACGAGGACGTACTGCTAATTAGGGAAGGTAAATCGTTGGATGCAAAGGAATCAGTGAAATACGTGGCGGAGACATTTTTCCCCGATGACAATTTGGAAAACGAAATACCAGAACAATATCATACACGAATGAAAGCTAACAAAATGTGCACTCAAACTACAGATGATATCTGGGATGTTCCATTTACAGCAACAGAATTACAATTTGCTACCAGTAGCTTCTATCCAAGGAAGGCGCCAGGTTCAGATGGCCTCACGGCAGACATCTGTGCAGCGGCGATAAACGTTGATGAGCAGATATTCTTAGCCTTGTTGAACAAGTGCTTAGAATTATCATACTTTCCGGATCCATGGAAGGAAGCTACTGTGTTAGCACTTAGAAAACCGGGAAAAACAGATTACTCTCTCGCAAAATCATACAGGCCAATAGGGCTCCTCTCTGTTATGGGTAAGATCCTAGAAAAGATGATGGTGAGAAGATTAAAATATTACATTCTTCCAAAATTAAATCCACGTCAGTACGGGTTCGTTCCACAGCGCTGTACGGAAGACTCCCTCTATGACTTGGTATTACATATTAAGAATAATCTGAGAAATAAAAAAATAAGTATCGTAATATCCCTAGACATAGAGGAGGCTTTCGACAGCGCGTGGTGGCCGGCTATTAAAAATAGACTGATGGAGATAAAGTGTCCTGTGAACCTACGTAGATTAGTAAATAGTTATTTTACAGATAGAAAAGTTAAAGTTAGACATGCGAACGAAGTATTTACAAAAAATAATACAAAAGGGTGCATTCAAGGCTCGATTGGTGGTGCCATATCTTGGAACTTACTATTAGATCCGTTGCTAAATGAACTTGAAGAGCGTGGAGTGTACTGCCAAGCCTTCGCAGACGATATCGTTCTGATCTTCTCGGGTCACGTGACAAGCGATATTAAAGTAAATGTAGATCAAACTCTTTCACACATATATGAATGGGGATTAAAAAATAAATTAAAATTTGCCCCGTAAAAACTTATGGTATGATAGTAACGAATAAATTGAAGTATGAAACCCCACAATTGTTCATGGGAGGTAAAGAAATAAAATTAGTAGATGAGATAAAAATATTAGGCCTAATCATCGATAAAAAATTAAAATTTAATAGTCATGTTTCCTATATTTGTCAAAAATCCATAAATATTTATAAATTACTGGCTCGTGCAGCAAAAATTTCATGGGGACTTAAACCCGAGGTGATCAGAACGATTTACGTATCAGTTATTGAACCAGTTGTAATGTATGCCGCAAGCGTTTGGGCACCAGCAGTCCACAAAATAGCAATAAAAAACCAGCTAAACGCAGTGCAGAGGGGATTTACACAAAAAATTTGTAAATCGTATCGCACGATCTCACTAAACGCAGCTTTGATACGCTCAGGACTACTTCCCTTAGATCTAAGGTTACGCGAAGCTGCATATTTGTATGAAGCAAAACGCGGTAAACCAGATGACAACCTACTTAAAGACAGAGAGATCGAAGAAAAAGTAAGTTTTTTGGAAATGCTGCATCCGGCCTGCGAAGAAAAAATCGACTTTGAAATAATTGACAATACAACATCAGAAAAATTAGAGGAACCACATACAAGTAGCGTACAAATATTCACTGATGGAAGTAAAATTGAGGGCAAGGTTGGAGCCGCAATCTCCATTTGGAGGAATAAACAAGAAATAGATTATAAAAAATTCAAATTAGATTCATTTTGCACTGTCTTTCAGGCTGAACTTTACGCAATGCATCAAGCAATTCAAGAAGCAAAGAATTACCAAAGTACTTACATATACAGTGATTCAAGATCTGATTCAAGCACTGGAACTTGTCAAAAATCAATCAGCATATCAACCGCTGGCTTTCGAAATTAGGCGAGATATCGCTAAATTAAGAAGTCAAAATAGGAGGATAGGGCTGTATTGGGTTAAAGCACATGTAGGTATTCCCGGTAATGAACGCCCAGATGAACTCGCAAAGTAAGCAGCTTTAAAATTAAAAACAAAATTAAATTACGGAAAATGTCCAATTTCGTTCATAAAGAACCAAATTAGACATAAAACAATTAAGGAATGGGATGAGAGATATTTAACAGAAGAAAAAGCCGAAATTACAAAAGTATTTTTTCCAGACGTAGAAGCAGCATATCGCATCCTAAAACACATTAATTTAACGCCAGTATTAGTTCAAGTTTTCACTGGTCATGGAGGCTTTGCTGATTATTTGTTCCGTTTTAAAATTAAATCTAGACCAGACTGTACATGTGACAACAACCAACCCCAATCTTCTTTGCATTTAATTATAGACTGTCCTCAATTTTGCAAAAATAGAGCAGACGTGGAACTGCAGATAGGATTAAAATTGACAAAAGAAAGTATACACAACATAATGGAAGACAAACGCGGTAGAAACATTTTCACAAAATATTGTATAACCGTAGCTAATAAAATCATAAAAACTAATAAAAGTGCCTAAACAAGAACACGATAAAATCAATTTAGAATATAGAATAAGATAATTCAAAGAAAAAGCACAATAAAACACTTGGTAAAAAAGGGAGATAAAAAAAAATAAGACATGAGAGTAAGAAAACTATATAATTAGACATATGAGTACATATGTCCTAATATTATATAAAATAAGAATGCAGTAAAACAAAAAAGAAGAGAATTTAATTAGAAATAGTGTAGAATACTGAAAAAAAAGAACTAATATAATAAGAATTAACCACATTTGAAAAAAGGAAAAGTGAGAATAAAATAAAATGTACTAAAAAAAAAGAAAAAAATAATAATAAAAAGAAAAAGAAAAAAAAACTTAGAATAGAATACACAGAATAAAGGGAAAGAAAAGGAAAAAAGGAAATAAAGTAAAAACTATATAAAAATAATGTGAAATTAAAATAAACTTATATATAAAATAGCAATCAGCTACACAAGGTCTCCGATCAACATGTCGGAGGATAATAGTAAAAAAAAAAAACAATATCATTATTTTACTGAAATCTCAGAAAGTTTTTTTTAATAGAATAAGGGTGACAAACGAGCACACAGTCCACCTGATGGTAAGTAGTTGCTACGGCCCATAGACATCTACAACTATTCTCGATTACGTATCAAAATGTAGATGCGTTGACACCCGTGAGGACTAAGATGTAATGCCTCGTTTCCAGTAAAAAGGTTCTCCGGTTCTCTACACTCACCATACGAAACACAGCAGGATTAAACTGCTATTTTACATGTTATTCCGTGAGAGCGTGGCCTTCCCCGGTCGAGCCGACCCATTCGTGCTACAACTATACCTACTACTAATATAGCCGCAGCATGGCTCTACCACGTAAGAAAAAATTGACGTTGAAAATTTAAGTATTTTCAGAAGCAACTTTGCAATTATTTTCTATTGAGTGAATTTTTGTGGAATCGTGTTTTACAAACCGCCACCTGAAATACGTACAATTTTTTTTCGATAACGACGTGAAATTATAAAACGATCCCCATGCATATCAATGTGGCTCTATTCAGCCTCTTAATATGCACATACCTCGGGCTTGAGAGATTTTAAAAGTTTTCATGCGTAGATAATGGAAGATATAATATTATATTATTACTGTCCCGTGTGATGCAACCTTTATACTTATATACATATTCTCATCATATTTTTACGGTTGGTTAGAAAAGTTATATCTAAATGCAAACTTTCACAGGGTAATTTTTTTTTTATTTTTTTTACCCAGCAAGTAGTAAAGCAAATACAATCCCATCGCTGGTTATGTAGCCTAAGATGGTGAATTGCACTGACTTAACAAAAACCTATTCACTCTTGCCTAATACTCGTAGTACTAGGTAAGTATTATTTGTGACCTACTTGTGTGTGTGTGTGTGTGTGTGTGTGTGTGTGTGTGTGTGTGTGTGTGTATGTGTGAAGAAAAGCTTATAAGAATACGTGAAGAGGAATAAAGGTTGAGTAGTACTTCGCTTACCTATACGAGGTTGCCACTCTTCACGAGTGGCAACCTCGTATAGGTTTCTTTCTTCCTATTTTCTATCGGTTTTCCAAGTTATATAGCCAGCCCATTGCCATTTCACTTTAATATTCCGTTGGGCTATGTCAGTTACTCTGGTTTTACTGCGAATATCTTCATTTCTAACTTTATCACGTAGAGAAACCCCTCTCCAATTTAAAATTTTTACATTTTTTAGATGATAGTTTGTCTAACATAAAAAAAAACGTCTTTATATAGTTATTTATACTTAGGGAAGCACCATTTTTATTATTTATTTAAATTGTTTGATTTAATTTGATAACAGTGTACCTAAATGTAAGTATCTGTATCTATATTTCCCTCCCCAACAATATTTTATAAAGTCATACTCATAAAAACAGCGTTTTATTGTAATACATAATTATAAAATTCAGTATCAACTAATTAATAAAAATATGCAACAATAAAATTACATAGGTATTAAAAACTATCGAAATCTAAGAACGAGAGCATGTTCGTCGTTCCACATCTAAATTATATAAATATGCATTTTTCAATTTCACTAATCAACGTCGCCGCGAAAGTTTCTTCTTCTTTGGACACTTTAAAAATTCATTTATTTAGAAAATAATATTTACAGTTACCAATGTACAGATACTAACTAAATTAAGTATTTCTAGTCATAAAAATATGTATAATTGAGTATAAACTTATAAAAAACTAATATATATTTGAACGAAGTCGCTCCAACACCGATGTGCAGTCCACCCTCGACGATGTCCGAAAACGGACCACAGAACACTAATACCCTTAGGCGGGAAGAATGTCAACTTCAAACAAAGAAAATGGCACCCATAATGCACGCCATCTCTGTCGTGCCCCCTAAAACTTTTTGCGCGGGAATTTTGACACGTGATTTTTTTTAGTTGTCGTCTTGGTTGTTTCGTTTCAAAAATGGCTTAAGAATGTAAAATACCATATAGATAGATATAGCTTGTAGTTTTTCGTTTCAATGATATATATTGCTAAATTAAAACGAAAACAAAAGCACAAAGTTATTTGTAAATTATGGTACTTTACATTCATAAACCACTTTTGAAACGATTAGCAATCATTTTAATATAAAAAAGGAACTATTTTTCAAATAAAAGTGGTTTTTGAAATACATATTTTTTATTTACATTACATACTTGTCTACATTGGTACATAGAAAACCGTTGGTACATTGATGGACGTAAGTGACGGAGTAATTAACTAATTTTTAACATGGCATATGTAACATGACATTTAAGCAAAATGGAAAGTAAAAGTACATTGGTTTTATATAAAAAAGATTAGACAATCCTAATATAAACACTTTTTTCTAACAAGAAAACATTATTTACATTCACATTCTACAAACAAGGCAATAGCTTTGCAATATTATGTCTAAACTCCAATAACCTGATTATATTATAGATGCCACCAATAATATTACATTTGTAGAAATTATTTTCGTTATGTTATTGTTATTGACTGCATTAAAAACTAATAAGTCAACATTTTCATGTCATTAAGTAGCACTACCTGCTGCAAATCCATCCAAGGATAAAGATATGTTGATAAAAATGAAATATCATCTGAGAAAAATTAACAGGCTTCAAAAAACTGTAAAGCATCTAAAGAATGAAGCATTTCTCAAAGTATTGAGCAAAAATGATTCCGTAAATGAAATATTAAAATGTAAAATATCCCCCTCTTTTGCAAACTGCTCTTCAAAGAAAAACTGATATCCTGCAGAATAAATAAGATGTTACATGGATATATACGTAATTAACTAATTTTTAACTTTATGCATGTAAACAGTTCTAAACAGCTCTTAACTAAATATCGATTTAATAGTTAAGTAGTTATTATTATTTTTCGATAATACAGGTAGATGTCTAAGTGTCACAGCATTTAATTGCTAAATTCTATAAAAAATACAAATGTATGTGTTATCCATATCCCACAGTAAACTTAA